CGCGGCCAGGCGGGGCTGGAATATCTCCAGAGAAGGAGACTCCACAGCCTCCCTGGGCAGCCTGGGCCAGGGCTCCGTCACCCTCAGAGGGAAGAAATTCTTCCTCATGTTCAGACGGAAAAATATTACGTGATGTCCCTATATATAGACATGGGTGGCAGCAGCGTCCCCGAGTCACAGCATGTTCAGTTTTCATCCCAAAGTGCTGATTTCACCCAAAGTATTGATTTCGCCCCAACCTCGCACCCTTCCTCTTGCGGGGCCTCACGCCTCCTCCCCCGTCCCGATTGCAGCATCCGGCAGATCGAGTGCTGCCTGGAGAAGATGCAGCTGATCTACAAGCAGTTCAAGAAGGCCAGGACGTCGCTGCGTAAGTGACAGGGACAGCGGCCGCGGGGCTGCGGCAGCAGCGTCCCTGCGCTGGCCGTGCGGAAAAGGGAATTATTTCAGTTTGCTGGGCTTAGCGGTGGTTTCTGTGCCGTGACAGTGGTCCCAGGGGCTGTGGCCCTGAAAAGCCCCTTGAGTGCTCTCTGTATGCGTGAAATTGCTGGTTTATTGGGTTATTAAGACCAAAACGCGTGGGGTGCGTTCTGGCAGGTGACCGGTGTCTTTCCTCCCCAGGGCTGGGCTACAACGAGGAGCAAATTCACAAGCTGGATAAGTAAGTCCCAACCCTCTCCCCTCCCTGGGACCCGCGCTGAGGCCAGGCAGGGTCTGGGGCTTCTGACTCAATCCGCAGGGGACAGAAAATATTCCCGGGTCGCTAACGCTGAAAGAGGGCACCTAGAAGTGGCTTCTGCGGCAGTTCATGGGTGCAGGACCCTTCCCAGCAAACTTTTTCAAGCTACCAAGCTATTTCAGACGGAGATGTGAGGAAACCTCTGCAGACCCGGGGAGAGGGAGTTGCTGTCGGGCCCGATCCCTGCGCTGGGCTGCGGGGAACGAGCCCGTTCCAGGCTGTTGCTCCCACTGACTCCGTTTGTGGACATCTCTTCGCTGAGATGCTGATTTAGGAAGTGTCCATGCTTTCGTATCTGCTTAATTTTCAGTGAGAGTAGAGTGTCTGATGGCTTCTGTACCTTTAAAAGTTCTCCTCTCAGTTTCCACTGAAACCAGGGGGATTTAACTCGACCAAGAAATAAAATGCACACTTCAAAATGTACCAGGGATGGTGAAATTTAACAGGCAGCTCCTTTATCTGAACGAATCTTCAGTCTAACCTCGGACATTTGCATTAAACTCCAAGGCAAAGACTTCTCAGGAGTGCCGCAGGGGTGGGGACAGCCCAGCTGGGCACCCCCACTGGGGTCTCCTGTCCCCAAAACCTCCCTCTCCTCTTGATTAGCGTTCCGTTTAGTTTTCTTTACAACCCTGATGGAAAAGTCGTTACCGAGCACCCAGCGCCTCTTTCTCCACGCGGGAGCCAGCTTTAGGTCTCCTGCCATGTGAGCTGTGATGTTCGTTTTCATGCATTTGAGGAGATAACGGTGTTCTCTCTTTTTTTTTTTTTTTAATTTTTTTCCATTTTAGGGTGAATTTAGGGCATCTGGCCAGGAAGGTGCTGTTGATTTTCCAGGATGACTGTGTGCAGCGGTACCAGGAGGCCCTGGCCCTCCACGGCAGCAGGATGAGGTACCAGCCCCTGCCCAGCTCTCCCCCCGGTTTCGGGGCTCTGGCTTTCGGCCCCGGCGGGGTTGGGAGAGGGAACTTTCCGGTAACTCACCAACGACCAGGGCTTCCGTGCACTCTCTGCCATGGATCGAGTGTTGGGATGCGGACGGAGATGCTGTTGGTGACTGCTGCTGAGGGACTCGTCGAGGGGCACTGAGACCTGTGTGACGCTAGCACTCCCGCTGCGTACGCTGGTTCTTGGCCCGTGCCGTGTAGTTCTGCCCAGTTGTTCTCAGGTTTTTTTTTCAAAAAAGCCTCCTAAACTGGCAGCTTGACTTCAAGGAGCTGGTTTCCTCTCTGTCTGACGGGGAGAGGTTATTTTATCAGGACAAAATTGCTATTGAGACAAAGAGATCTACTTTACTTATTAGGAATGATTTTCTGTTCAGTGGTGTCTGGGGAATAATTCAGAGAGCAAACTACCTTGCAGTGACTGAGCACGACCCGCTGCCTGTCACGGCAGCAAAGGGCAGGGCGAGGCGGCTGCGGGAAGAGGACGTTGCAGAAATTGGATATTTATTGCAAGCTTGCTTTTAGAGAGAAGCATCCATTCCCCTGGGCTGCCAGTGTGGGTGGCAGGAGAATGATTTTCTATAATGCCTTGGAATTAAACCCGGGTTTCGACCTGGTCTCTATATTTCTGGTGTGGAGCAGCCCTGCCTGGGATTTACTTGGGGGGGATTTTTAGGCTGGGAGTTTGTCTCGGGTGCTCGGGACTGCCCCAGGAGCCACGGGCAGTGCCTGCCCTGCCTTCGCCCTGCCTTTTCTCCCTGCCTTTTCTCCCTGCCTTTTCTCCCTGCCTTTTCTCCCTGCCTTCTCTCCCTGCCTTTGCCCCTTTCCAGCCTCAGCTGGTGCAGCCGGGGGTTTCCAGGCTGCAAACCCTGGCCCACGGGCAGGTTTCACTTCGGGGACAGAAGCCCTTGCCCACGGCCACGTCCCATCGCAGGGCAGTGAAATCTCCCCTCGGCCTCAGCGGGAATTCTGTCCCCGGGGTGCGAATTTTGTCTCCATGCCTGGAGCCCCGCGAGCCCCGCGCAGCGCGGGAGCCCCGTCTGCTTTTACCTCTGCTCACAGGGAGGAAAATAAGCTTCTTCGTGGTTTTCTGGAGTATTTTTGTACCTGTTTTTCTGTCCTTAGGGAGATGGCATCGTGAGTCACAACTGGATATTTTTAATTTATTGTTGTTTTAGTTTTAATTGTCCTGTTTTGAGTTTCTTCCTGCTCGTAGCCCAGGTTTGTGGTGTGGTGGCTGTTTTTCTGGGGACTGGAGGTGGATCGTTGACCTTAAATATTCTTTCTTTTTTTTTTTTTAAGCCAAACCAAACCTTTTTTTAAAAAACTCGCGGCACGC